TTTTTTTTTTTTTTTTTTTTTTTCTCTCTTCAAGAACCTGCGACAAGAGACAACGCGACTACTGCGAATAATAAAATTAAATCCAGTACCGAATCTCAGGTACCGGAAGTTAGACCCCACGAGGAAGAAGAAAATGGCACGGACGTAGTAATCGATGTAAATAAAGTACAGATTACGAATCACGTACCTTACGACATTGTGCCTGCTGATAATCGCACTGTTGAACAAACCAACAGTTCTGGTACAGAACAATTTAAAGATAACGCAATTACACGATATTGCGTGATTAAAGGTTTACCGGCTAATGTGATAAAAATGTGATAAATTATTTTTATTGTAGACGTTTCGAGTACAGATTTAAAACACGGTGAAACCAATGAAACATGGCCGTTAGCGGTAAGAAAGGCTGCTACAAATGTAAATTCCGAAAACATGGCGGGAGTTGCGAAATCTGTTAATCGCAAGCATATGCCTTCGGGAATCATAGCACTAGTTACTGCGATCAGTTTTGCTGTAGCAATTGCATTGGTATACATAGGGATGATCGTTTGGAGGCGGTATATCGAGTAAATGTTAAACTGGCTATTATATTTTTCCTACTTCGCGTGTCTCTGTGAATTGACAAATTGACAATAATTAAAAATATTTCTGTATTTTAGATATAGATACGGGCACCGGGAGTTGCTCGTTAACGAACTAGAATTTGATACTAACGATTTGCGTCACTTTGAGGTAAATATACATCATTGATTATGATTAAATTGATATTTAATTAACAAACATGTGATCGTTTAATTTTCCATGTTGTAATTTTGCACAGCTGTGATCTCAAAGAGAGCGGTAATCTGCAGAGAAGAAAAAGAAAAACTGAATGGTTCGCATCAGCTAAAGCTGATACTGTGTAAACTATTGAAGATTTACTGATCTGTGATACCAAGGACACGCATTGTGTCCTGACAGTCGAGACACCAAATATATTTGGATAATATTATGTACTTCGTTTGTGATGTAATTGTTTTATATACAATACTGCGTATACAGTCTACTTTCGTTTTCTCAACGCGTCGATCGTTTTCTTCTTCTCCTGTAGAAATGAAAAATAATGTTACCGTGTATAAATTTCTTGTGGTGCGCAGATTGCAATGCGCAGATCATTGAACAAATTACGTTAGCATCTTAAGCGTCGAGTAAAGTAAAAGAAAAGAAGAATTTTAAAAAGAAAAAGTTACACGGGTGCTGGAATATTTATCGGTTTTCTCCAATGTTGATACGATGAGTTTTATGGTATCCGAAACCAATGAAATGAGTGAATGTAAAAATATTATGGACTAAACCTTCGTCGTAATGTGGCATTATCTTTGTTCTCCACTCGTGTTTTTTGTAATACGTGCGGCGAATTTGTAAATATTTTTAGTTGAATAAATAAATCGCTGAATTATTTTTTTAAGAACGTATCTTTATTCTTGGTCGATCAAAGAGTTGTCCATCGATCATATCTTTTAATCGAGTGAATTGTGTATGTATTCTGCATATTTATATACAGTGACAAAACGAACCTTCGTAATGATATATTTATTTATAAATTCAATAAATCACAATTCCAAAAGATAGTTACGACTAGCTAATACGTACTTTGCATCCTGTAATTGGTATTGTTGTTTTGTTATTGGTTAGTTGTTTTCAAGTATTTATCTACATTAACGTTTGTGGCATGTTTCATATAATATCTACGTTGTTCGTCGCGGGAATAGTCTTTTGTTGTTCCTCGTTAACAACGTCGTAAACGATAAATATATGTGATAATTTCTTTGAATCAATTGGCTATCATTAGTCCTTCTTTTTTGTAATTACAAGTGGACCGACATTGTCGTTCGTCGCCTGATTATGAGTTCCATGAGCGCCGTCACAGTATGGCCACTGAAATAGCAAAGTATCAATGTCGATATTACTCTTGTGTTAACTTTTATTCGTTTATCAATTTATCGGTATATAAACGAATGATCGTGTAATGTACGTTTGTTTCGCTCGTAAGGTTATTTCCAGATGTTTTTGATACATTGACATTGACGACGTATGTGTAGAGAGATATGTAGGTTATTTATGTATAGGATAAGGTAAAACATTAACGGTAAAATGGAAAACTTACGTTCTTGGATCTCCAGCAACGGCAAAACACGGCTTTTTCAGTAATATCTTCTATATCAACTGTGTCTACTACTTTATTTACATCCTTCTTTACACTCAGATTCACAAGTCCGCATGGCTGTAACCATATTATTAAGATAAACTATAGATATAAGTAGATGACACGACATATTAATTGCTTGGCGTGGCCAACTCTTTGTTACGTACGTATTTAACACATAAATGCAATGAATAATATCGTACAAACGATAGTAATAAATATGAGACAACAACGTTACGTAATCGAGAAAGGAAGAGACAAAATATAACGTAATGTACTATCTTAACGTTCTTGCGTTGGTTGGTAATAAGTAAACACACAAATTACTTACTGGTCCTCTGGCCTTTGGACAAAATGCTTGATACGACATATAACCGATACCCGCTAATAACGCGGTCGGTGGAATTAAGGCAATCCAGTCTCTTACTAAATAAAAATAAAAAATATTTCATACATTCGTAATGTTATTCGTAAGAACTATATTGGATAGAATGTAGCAGAGTAGTAATTTGCAATGTCACGTTGAAAACTTGAATTTTTGAAAGGTACTCGACGTGATTCTACTAGATTATCAAATGTATAGGAAATATGTTGTTTAATTTCTTACTTCCGAGTCGAAACCATCCTCCAATAGTATCTGGAATGGGCAATCCAGCTAAATAATTTGGAAGAGTTACTTTGACGAGGTGGGCCACTGGCATCATGACTGCTATTACTACCACGCTAGTCAAGTAGCGATTTCAAACGAACGAATTATGTAGTTTGCGTTGCAAATAATATTTCGAACAGTGTTTGATTGCACGGTGTCTATATTATGAAACAAAACGTGTAAATTGAAAGTAATTACACACACACACACACACACACACACACACACACACACACACACATTTATGAAGTGTAGTCTTGCAATCATGAGAATCGATTGATACATTCTTGTTTAATTTCTTGAATTTATTCAAAATTCGTTGCAATGTTAAATGAAACATCATTTCTGGTCATATGTTACTTGGTAATGAAGAACATTTTGGTTTTTTAACGTGCATTTGTTAATTGAAAACATTTTGGTTAGTTCGGTAGGACCTCTTTCTTATTCGTATCGAGCGTTCTCTTATCGTTAAAAATTTAAAGCTTTGTTTCGAATGCTGCTGTCATTCTAGTCGCGTGGTAATTGTGTTCGATAATTACGATTAAATAATAATTTTGACGAATATGAATATTATAACATATAAATGGGAATATTCTAAATACGGTTAATTCTTACAGACATTTCAAATTGACAATTTTCGAAAGTCATTAATTTTCTGGTTAAACACTTTAACTGAGACATTTACTTCTAAACGTCCTAGTAAGTTTAATTTTTTTTTTCTTTTTGTTATACCGTACACGACATATAACGAAGCACCGATATATTCTAATTTGTTCAAACGTTAGATTTGAAATTGTCGTATAAACGTATATGTAATATAATTTTTCTGTTTCGTAAGAATCGTACGACTCTTGCTTAAGTTGCGATCAAAGGCGATTGCATGTCAGTACTTTGTAAGACTACGGGTGTAATTTGTAAGTAGACGAGCATGCTTACATATTGCGTTTGCAATCGGCATAGTCGCCGGTAGGCTTTGACTAGCGTGGTGGACGAGGTGAAGGACCGGCGGGGTCCGCGAGACGTCTTGTAGGTGGCGCCATCCAGTCGCGAGGCGTTCGCCGGGCAGGGTGGAGGTGGCTGCGTCGTCCGCAAGGATACGTGGTCGGTTCACCGCGACGCCGCCGCGGTTCGCGCAGGCACAGGTACGAAGTGCGCGCGTTTTCGAGGCGGGTATATCGCTGGATAAAGGAGCGCAGGAGTGGCGTTTCTACGTCTCCGTTCCGATATCGCTGGCCACGGTCCATCGTTGACGGTGCGTCGATTAGTACATAGATCGGCAGCAAGGTTCGTGTCGTCGGCTGCGGGAAGAGAAGAGAGGAAAGACTGGGCAAGAGAAGCAAGAGGGAAAAAGGAGAGAGATAGAGAACGCGGCTCCGTTCCATCGCGCGGTGCAGTGCGAAAAGTGTTGGCGAAGGGGGCCTCTGCTTCCTAGTCGGTGCTTGTGTGGGTGTTCGTGCGTGTGCCAAGAGAGAGAGAGAGA